AGTTCGGTGTCCTGACAATACTTGTGTAACTAAACTGAACTATTGTACTGAGGTCGCTACCATCTGGCGACAGTAGCTTAACCCGACTGTCAACTTCACCGTGTTGTAATTAAAGGACGGGAGGAACTTGACTACTTCAGCTTTTTGTTGACTTCTGATATCGGGTGCTTGTCATCGGTTGAGCTGGAAGTGGGGAACCATTCGGAATTCGAGCTATTCCACTCGTTACTCTCCTTCACCGTCGCAGGCCTTGTCCCAAATAGACCACATTGTAATCAGTTTCAGGTGGCGTGGTAGCATACAAGACTCCAGGTTATTTGGGTCTACCTACCTCGATTCAGATCACGCACTCGTCTGTGCCACGATTTGCACGCCATTCGGAGGAAATCAGAAACGGAGCCTTTGTAAGGTTGATACGAACAGGCTAGCTGGTCACTCGGCTCAGCTAGACTATCAACCGTCACGGGCGAGCACACTAACGTGTGTCCTGCCCACTGATGTTGACCACCACTGGAAGTTATTGCAGCAAGAAATGCTAACTTCAGGCCAATCAGTCTGTGGGTTATTTCATCACCCCTTGAAGGGTTGAATATCGGCGCGCTCCTTAACACTATTCGACCGTCGCCGAACTCTCAGTAAACCCAAACCAAAATGAAGTTCGCCGCATTATCAGCAGACAACTCAAACGAAGCCTTCGCAGCGATCGAGAAGTTTGGTGGTCCCAACGCGCCTTGGTGATGGAAGCCGCCGCCCTCACTAGAAACACCTGCAGGCTGTTTCAGATCACTCTGACCACTGGACGCAGGAGGTTCTGTATCATTGAAGTCATCTGTGAGGCAGAGGTGTCACTAATCAGTAGTTTGCAGAGACACATGGACAGATGGACTGAGCACTTCCAGTATATATATATATGCGGTAAGAGTGGCAACTGACTGCGCGACATCTTGAGAACGGAGGTAAAATGTCCGATTATGATAACGAAAATGGTCTAGTAACGATTTGTGTGCAAGAAAATGCAAACTCGCACAAAGATAGCTCAGAGTCGGTTGTTGTTGGAAACAATCAAACAATGCAGGGTTACGTTGAACGAGTAAATCACTGAAACTTACCGCCCAAAAACAGAAAGTAGCGTTTTCGAGTCTGTATAGCAGTGAGAGAGAAAGAAGCGAAGATATTAGCAGTGCCTAGTAGAGCTGTTGGTATCGTTTGGGGATCGATGATTGAGAGCAAATGAATTAACGGGCCCAGACCCAGACCTGTACTGAAGGCGTGCTAGCTGAGTTATCGGAGTCATAGGCTCACCTTGTTCTAACGATTACTTTATGACTCCTATTCTAATAAGTTATACAATCGTTGAGACTACTTTAGTATCAACCTCAGCTTCGGATCGCATTCATTGGAGCTGATTCTCATTTCTGCCCGTTTACTTATCTATTGTATATATTGAACATTTACAGGCAAATCCGGAGTAGGATGTCGCCAATTATATAGATTAAACACAGTTTGTGATACATATACCATCGGGATTCTGGCAAGATGATAAAACCAGATTTGGATAAGAACAAACAGGCTATTTTGGTCCGGTTTTGAGATGGTTTGGTAGTTTGTTTTATTTGGGGAGAGAAGGAGAATCATCGTAACGAACAGAGAAGCACGTCCACCATTGGCGTTAGTTTTGAGCCATAACTTTCTTGGTTTCCAACCAGCGACGCTGCACCCGTTTTGTCAACTTTCTTGCCGCTTATCCACGTAGCAAGCCTTTCACCACGTTACTCCCTCTAGCTTTGTCCAGCGACCACGAACAGTGCACGACCTGAAGGACGCTAAACGAACATGCGCAATACGTGTCCAAGTCAATGTCACAATGCAGCTCTGTCTACGGAATTGAAGACAGCACGGTTATGCATTAATCAAGGATCTGGCGGAGTGTGCAAATTTGATCGATGCATCCTGACGAGAGCAGAATCCAGCCTGTTCTTCCTGCCGTAGCTATTCGCGCTTTGAGGATAACCTGCTATGTACGGTGGACGCCAGATTCATGCAAACCACTGGAGCCAAACTTATGCCCCTTGAGTCAGACTCTTTATAGGTGGCGACAACTGTAGACACCCCAGATTGATGAAAGCTCCTTTATTGATCAAACTTCTGAAGACAATGCCGTGAGTCCTCGAACCAGCTATCTTTCAATCGACTAGGAAGTTCCATCTTTCTACCACGTTCATACCTTTATAGTCCTTTAAGCTACGCTAATCTCCATCCGGAGATCAGCGTTCTTTACTACAACTGGCGGCGTCTGTTCATCAGCGAAATGAGACAGCGGTGATCCAGCTCCTAGGTGAGTCCCGGTCAACTCCACAACCAATACTCGCAGAAATTAGGGGATTTTTGATCCACACCCATTGTGAATTAAGTTCATCATCAGAAGCGGAGACAAGAAACATTGACAGCGCGGCCTGATACGTATTAGGGTTTTGTAGATTTTCAACATTCGGTCGGTGGTATGTATGACACCTGAGCGATCCTGCGAAACGCATGCAAACCTCAGTACTGTACAATTCGGGATCAGAGCCCAGACAAGTACAATCTGCTTCGCTTCCGCGCTATCAGCTGCTTGTTACTATGTGGTGTCAGGATGGGACTACTCTCTTGCATTTGATAAGGTAGATTCCAGGGAGCAGTTTGACTCTTCAGTTTCCGAAACCCTATTGGGCTCGTCAGTAGTGCGTATCCCTCGGTCACCTACTGGGTATCGGACCCATGCCCACTAGATTCTGACCCCACCTAGCCAGCAGGTTAAGCCACTAAGCCATGGCGGGCGTTGATTGGCTTGCATAATTTGTAACTACTATAAAGTACGTAAATATCATAAGAGCGCTGTGCGTGCATAGTTCGGGCACAGTGAGGGCTTACGGCAAGCTGTTGCCACCTTTTAGTATCTCTAGGGCTGTGAGACACGAATGTCCGCTGCCACCTTTCTATCGACGAAGTCAGAAAGATTGTGTGTTCATTGGACATGACTTAGAGGGTGTGGAGCTGCTTCCAGGTAAACAGCTTCTTAACTTTGCGTGCTCTGACAACATTGCTCTTATCTATGACGGATTGCAAGCGTACCAAAAAGCACTGGACAAATAAACATTGGCTATCTGTCATTTCGGAGTATGCTTTCCACCGTCGAAATGCACAGTTCTTCCCCAAGATTGACAGGGACCTACGTCTGCGCTGACCCATGGTGGTGATCAACTAGAAGTCGTCGAGAAATTCAAGTATCTAAGCGGATGTATAATCGCCGTTGGAATATAAAATAAGATCATAAACCGCATAGCAAAAGCTCAAAGTTAGGCTTCGGTGGATTTTGAAAGACTGTTTGCTGGGTGTGGAAACATCACGTACGACCAGTGGTTTCTTTGTGGCAATGACCGGGGAGATCGGTTTTACAGTGGAATTCAATGTAGCAAAAGACTTCACAAGAGCAAAAACGGTATTAAAGTCCTCTTATACTTTCTGAGTAGGTCGAAGTAGATGGGACTCCAGATCCTGATCAAAGATCACAAACTAGCAGGGCAATATAAGAGGGTCGCAATCTGTTAGTAGTGTGAGGCCAAACAAGTGAAAAGGCACCAGCAGTACCGACATTTCGCTGTCGCTCAACCACCACTGGTCGCTAAGAATACTGCGAGAGTCGCCCTGCCCCCACTCAGGCTTGAATTCGCACCGTCGGTTTACAAGACAAGCTTGCTACATTCAGGCTACGGGCAAACAAGCAAGTGGTCCACACACCTTTATGCCTGCAAAGGATCAGTGGCTCAACACACTTGAATTTCAATGTCACTCGAAAAGGGGCATGGAGCCATAACTTTATTTAGTGGCGAGTCGCGTCCACCACGTCACTGTCGTAACAAGAAAATATGCGAGGGCGCTTGCCATGTGATCCTTCGACATATATATATATATATATATATATATATATATATATATATATATATATATATATATAGGCCTTTTTAAGCTGACTAACTTTCATTCCACTTAGGTTGCTTTGTTCTGCCTGCCTGAATAATCTATTAACTGGCCACCTTGCTTACGCTAAGTGCGCTTATCTTCAGTATTGTGTTGCGTTCGTAGCACTTTTAAGTAACTTGCGGACATTTCTCATCTACCGCGGATTCGTTACTAACCAACTTACTTCATATGCTAATTTAGTGAAGAGTTATGCCATTGAATCTGTATGCATTATTGGATTTGTTTTATTTCATCTCGTCGTTTCAAGTAATTGGCTGTTGCTTGATATCCCCGATGTGGCTGCGCTTGATGTGCATGTTGACAAGGTGCCTACCTGTCTATTACCCACTACCTCGTCCATACTGGCTCCAGGAGACAGTTGGTCGTTGCTGGAGGGGACGGGGTGCGCGGTCCTTGTGGCCGTGCTAGGCTCGAAGAGTGGTTCTATGCACTCAGTGTGGAGCGGACTACGGTCCAGCTACCGCCTTGTGTGCGATTGATTCCCAACTGCAGCGTGCTTGTGTTTGCCTTGAAAGAGTGTGGGCCGCCTCCATTGATGAAACGTGGCTCCCATCCACATGCCTCCCGGTCTTATTCCTTCGGGTTTGCACTGGATATGGGGTGTGTGGTGGGTGGTGCGGCGCAAGCCACCCATGGTCCCTCTGTTGGCGCAGGCGTCATGTGGCTGGCCACAGTGGCAGGCAAATCCGAAACCGGATGCCGCCGGCCAGATATATATATATATATATATATATATATATATATATATATATATATATATATACTTTCAATCTTAGGTACTCTAAGGGGCTTTCTCCCTTGAAATAATATGCATCACACCCGATTTTTCTCCAATTCCATCCCATTAGCACCCCGTACTTAGATCAGGCTATTATCTCGCACCTTAGAGGGGTCTTCGGTTGGTTGCTACTCTATCACTTCCCTGTTCTGTTTACCATCACACCCATTTGATTATTTCCCCATTGTTATCCTTCATTTAGCTCTTCTGCACCATCTTCGCCCTCGAACAACTGCAACAATCCAACGAGTGTGGCCGACCATGAGTTGACCCCCGAGTCGGTACGCTATCTCGCGCCCGGTATGTTTCTCCTTATTACCTCCACCTCGATTCTGCTCTGCTTTCGACTCACGATAATTTTATCTTTTAGTAAATAGAACTAATTTTACTCAGCCCTGAATCCAAACTCCCACATTTTTTCTGCAATCACGCACTCATCTCTGCAAAAAACGCTGTTTGCCCTACATCACTGGCAGCAGGGGCAACCTCCGTCATCCACAATATGCGTCTCTCTATAAGAAGAGCCCTTGCACACGCAAATCTTGCTTCGCAATATTGCGAAATGGCCACGGATATTGTCCGTCTCCCTAGGCTGTCGCACCGCTCTTGTGTAGTCTACTCATCGACACGGTTGTTGTACGCACAGATATATCACAAGCTTCCCATTCCAATATTGAGCCATAAACCAAGGGTAGAGTGTACTACACTACAGTCCGCTCGTTGCTAATAAGGGAATCAGTGATATATGGGTTCCACGCTGTGCACATTGTGAGACTTGTGCTTCGAAGCCTTACAGAGTGGAAATCACAAAGGAGTGGTAAGACGAGTTAAATAGTAAAAATCCCTCACATCTGGACACAGTCAGACAGCCATCACACCCCCGAAAATGCTCTGTATGGCTGTTTCATCTTTTGGGGAATCGTCATCAGTGCGCGTTCTATATGACTCCTGTGGGATTGTAATCCGCAACCCAACTGTTATCACTGCGCGGTTAAGACTGTCGAAGTTATTCTGGATTCAGAAATAATGCCACGTCGTTCTTAGACGCCCTAAAGAAGTAGACGCATATATTCCCATTGTTGTATTTTGATGCTTCCCTAAATCATTAATGGAAGAAAGGAAGGAAACCTGCCGAGGAACGCCGTGTCGTGTTTATTGGACTTAGTATACAATTGTTTAAGGTTAGTGTATCGATTGTGTGCTAGATGTAACTTTTGTATGATGGTCAATACAGCTGGTAAAACTGCCAGCTGACTAAGGGTATTATCTTACCAGTCCTTGTGTAGCCAATATACATTTGTATGGTAAGTATAAGATGATGTTACTACAAGACCACTAGCTACGGAGTACGGTAACGACCGACGTGATTGGATATCGCTTAGCGCCGCCCACTATCAACGGACTTGCACGTTACTGCCGCGCAGAAGACAGGGTAGCCCCTCCCACCAAGCGACGCAATTACCAAACTTAAGCCGCCAATGAACTTTTGACATTATAAACATTTTGGTCTGCGTATTGATTACAAAAGAGTAGTACGGGGAGTTACATGTTATGGGCTCAAGTTCATCACATGTAGACCAAGCAGAAATTCCTAGTGCACCCAACTGATTGCCGATTCTCTCGCGTCGTACTGGGCGGCCCGTTGCGCTCATATTACCCACGTTGGCTGAGACGTCCACCGTAATGAGGCGCAATGATTTGTACACTTCCGTGTTCCAGGGACCATTTGTTAGATGTCAAACTGGCTCTGTCTCAGAACCCTCTTCGGAAATTGCCAGGAGATCGATACTCCTCTTCCGTCAATATTCGGACCATTTGTGTTGCTCGGTTATATTGGTGTGGCGCACGAGTGCCGCGCGTTGTCTCTGATGATTATAGAGCGCTACTCTTGCTCGCTTATTGGTTTTCCCACCCCTTGTTTCTATCCAGGTAGCTCCTGTTCAAATAGCTGCAAACGTGCCAACTCCCACCTGCGGTTAGCCATGGTCGCAGGTATGTGGCGTACTACGGTCAAACAACATGTGTGCTGATCTGAATCCCCAAGGCTACATGTGCTGGCCTCAAGTAGATCCCGATAGGACTTTAGGCACACCCACACCCCATCTAGACGTTCTCCCCACTGTTTTGTGAGTCCGATTGTTGTGTCAAAATTAGATTTCGTCGCCGTCAGCCAAACTCCTCCGTTTGGAGGGGCATCGAGAGAGTATCGTCTGTCCACAAGATGGCGTCGCCAGCAATCCTTCTATTTTCTTTTCATGGATGCCTTTCTCAAGCTTACCTTCAGCATCCCACTATGAGTTTCCTCAGTCACACTATCAAGCAAACTTAGATGTCTCCCTAAGTTAAGGTACCATTCGGTGCTCCGCATATCTTCCTTGACATGTTGTTTGGGGTCACTCCGCCTATCCGAGTGAATCCCCGATGTGACCAAGTGGTAACAAGACGAGATTTACCAGGATGCTTATTCCAGCTGACATTTGCCAATTTCCTGGAATCAGTCTCGATATCGGTTACAATAACCCCTGTCTTCTGACGAGGAAGGGACTTCCCATTAGCATCGCATATTACTGTAATCGGTGAACTTCAATGGATCTTTGGTTCGACGATGAGAGACCGATCCGATAGAGCTGGCATCAGATATATAACCCACTTAGTAGACAATGCTATTCACTTATGCAGTATATCTGCAAGGGTGCGTATGGGGATCATCAACCAGCTGAAGGATCCAAGGACAACGTCTTTTGGATTAACAGTTCACTGTGACTTGAATAATTTGGACAGGATCTTTATCGAACACGCTGATATTGCCAGTGTAAGCTGGACCAGTCGCGGTTACTAAAACCGAAAAGTTTGCAGGACTTCTAATTACGAAGTCGAAGGACATTTAGGAGTACTTTTGTCGCAAACCGCTGATGGCAACGTGCAGGGCTTGTTGTAGACAATGAACCTGCGACTCTGAGTTAACCTTTAGCAGAAAACCACAGTTATTTATGGCTAGCGAAGTAGGTGACTTTACTTCATCCCAAATAACTTTATTGATATTAGCTTATCTGCGGCAAGCAGTCGAATGGTCTTACCAGAGTTCCATAAGTAAGCAGCAGCTCCGACCTCCTATATTTGTCGATACCGCCATGTTTCACTATCACTGCCTTCAGCCCTTAATTGAGTTACTGACCTTGAGGGTAGCGCAGTTGTTTACGAATGTGCATCCCAAGAAATCGCTTCGATAGTGCTCAGGTAGTCTCGGAGAGTGGGCGATGAGTTCGATCGCATATTTAATGAGTGAAGAAGTGCATCCTAAGGTAGATCACCGGTAGGCGCTCTTGTCAGTGAAGCTTCATAAATCATTGGATCCGATTGATCAAGGTCTGTTCACATCGATTGTGAGGTACTTTGGCTTCGGGACCCAATAACCTACGCACAGATCCCTGCGTAATGTGAACCAAGCTAGCCGAGCGGAAATGATCCGCATTCCTCCAATACTGCCAAAACCGTTCCAGATCCAGCTGCAATATTAGCAATTCATTATGTTGCCTGTTTTATCTAAGAGGGCACCACGTATGTGGAACTTATTTCTACTTGAAGTTGAGTCTGGACAGCAGCCAACGTTTGTCTTCAGAAATCTGCCTCATCTGAGCAACTCTTTGAGCAAGTACTGACCAGCAACTTTATATTAAAGGAAACGCAACTCCCGATTTGTGTACTCTACACCAGAGTCGATAATATTTGCTGCAGTTGTGCCTCAATAGGCACACGGTCATCTAGGACTTCAACGCATATGGTGAAATTAATCTAGGCGATGTGTGTTAATTATGCGCTAACTGCGAAACAGAACTGTGCGTTTTTGGCTGTCAATCGGAAATCGACATGGCAGCACAGCATCTAATTTGCTAATAGTTAATCCAGCGCCAAATAATCTCGTCTTGGATACTTCTGTGTCACCAGATAGACGCGGTTAGGATTTGTCTGTGCGATTTCAACAGTGGGCTACTGCAGCTATCGACATCAAAATAGACTCCACGATGCGCACTAAGCTTAATTGTTAACCAGCTTATTCGAATAATTGCACAACCGTCTATCAGAACGAAACTGAGAGCTGAAATAGGGGCTAACACAAACTCTACGGACACCAGGAAGACAGATTGAAGAAAACAAGTGTTTTTAACGATGGCACGCTTAGGATGAACCTATTATACGACACCATTCGTTCTGATGTTTACAGACACGATATTTTCTTATGCCAGTGATTGCTTTTTGACAACCCCCCATCAGTTTGACCGTTCATCCTAGCAGTTATTGCGGTGTGGCTTAACTTCTTTCCAACTTATCTTTGTTCAACCTTCAGGCAACCTTCCACTAAAACAACTCTCCTACCACCGCGGTCCCAACATTGTGAACGTCACTTGCGTGAGCTTCAGTCCCGACGGACAGGAGCTTCTCGCCAATATGAGTGGTGGTCAGCTTTACCTGTTCACATTGAACAAACATGTGCAACCGTATTGGTGCACTGCGTCTTCCACGAATAGTCCACATGATCGAGGATTAATCTTTGGAGCATCAAGTTCCGACCGATCCTTGCCCACTGGTTCCGCTCCTTTCCTCAGACACCTTATTCCTAGCCCAGGCAAGTTTCTCAATCAGCGAGACATCTTCGCTGTTGGATGTATTTGTGCGTCTTTTGGTTTCGCAGTGCTGAAGGGTTCTGAAATTTCACTTTCTTTCTGTAATGTTAACGCAATGCCTGCAGTGCGTCTCTCTCGTGGGATCCATCTCACCGTTTCACTCACTGCTCAAAAGGCAAGTCTGTTTGTGGCAACCGTGTTACGGACATGGTCGATTGCAAACTGCGGTTAGAGCGCCTCTGTATTTCCGCTTTTCCACTTATTTAAGGTCCATGGTTGTTGGTCATTTTTGTCCCTAAGTTATTGTCTTACTAGCTTTCAATAATTTGAATCAAATAACCTTCTATGTGGTACCTGGGCTTCAGAGTTTGATATACATGTCATCACTATGTGGAGGTACTGCCCATCGTTTTCACCAACGCTTCATGCCACAGTATCTGTCTGAAACACATCGCCATTTCCTCAATCTATTGTTTCTTTCCACGCGTGGGCTGCTGCTTCTCTCTGTGTCCTAAACGATCACAAGCCTCCCTTATACTCTGAGGGCGCGGTTCCGAGCTTGCGTAGGGATCCGGGCTACCCTAGCAGTAGTCTTAGCCCACGCGCGACTCTTTGTGCTTGTGCAGCAGCGAAGCGTCGGTACTGCACACAGACGTACTGCTAATGCCTAGAAGTATTTGCATCAAGATTTGTATTTTCTCTCTTCGTTGCCTAGTCTTCTTCGTTACGACATCCATCTTCTCCATTCGACACCTCGTTTGCACCAATTTTGGCTATACAACTAACGATCAACATATCCCCTATCTCTGTCTAAACATCAGTGTTGATCGACAAACGAGCTGCTCATCTATAGGACGTACTTACTTTGAATTCACCTCACTGCAATTCGGCCCAACTTCAGGAATGTCAAATACTCCGAAATCGGCTTGCTGATCGTTTATCCTCTGTTTCAGGGTGGCTGTCAACAGTCTTCACGCCCTCTGCTTACTCTGATGCGATGAAGTGCACGACCACGTTGAAGGATTCGGCTGACTCGTTTGAGTAACTAGGGGCGACAGCAGAACTCATACTCCACTCCGTGCGCGTTCGCAAAGTGCAGCACACATAGTCGGTCCCAAAAACGCCACTCCATCTAATAGGATTATGGACTAGCCTGTGCAGTCACTGATTTCAAGAGACTAGTATCTGGTATTTTATAGATACTCAACAAATTCGTTGCGATTGCACTCAGCCAGACAGACGCCACACCTTTGAAAAAGCATTGTACTACTGCCTCGACTTCTCGGAAAACATCGACATTGCGCATTCCTTCAGTCCAGCGCAGTCACCGTTGTGTACGCGCGTGACTGGGCACACATTCCCCCATGTCTTTATGGTTTTTAAATTCCTTACTAGTTTTGAGTTTAGGGACTTACATTCAACCCGTTTAATACTCTTTCCACGCAAAGACGATTTATCTTGCGATTTGTCAAAATGTCTATTGCTGCCTTCAGTCACGACACCTGAGAAGTATACCCAATCGGTTCGATCACCTTGGTACTGATAGCGCAACCTACATCGATTACTACGACTCCTGTATATTTACTTGAATATGTTTTTCGTATATCTATTGCCGTTGGACTTTCTCCTTTTGCATGATTCCCGGTAATCTGGTCAAATTCTCTGCAGACTCCCAATTTCAGCCGAAACCAGAGGTCAACGATTAACGCGATAATGTGTTACCGAACCAGCTACCGAAGTTGATATAAGTAATGTTATAATTAGCGGAAATGTATCTCCACTCATGAATGTTTTGGATCTTTTCTCAACCAGTTGCATCCATAGCTCTTTCACATTCCTCCCTAAAAAGTCATGTTGTTCTCATAGATCTCTCAAGATGGTCCTTAAGGTTTTGCACCCATACACGCTCCTACAAATACACACTGTTCGTGGAGGGACCAATCTCAAATAGCTCAATGGGATAACAGATGTGAGTACACAGCTCAGGATGCTATTGGTTGATTTTGCATGTAATTTGAAAGCGCTAAACTCCATCTTGAGAACTCTACGGGGAAACATGATTTTTTGAGGAGGAACATGAGAACACTATGGATGCAATTGGTTGTGAAAAGCTATAGTACAGTCGGATTAGCTACTAAAATTAGCGTTTCAGTTCCTTATCTGCTAATGAGGAGGTGGATGCACGCGCCACGATATGGATTCGAATACTGGGTGGTTCGGTTGTACCGTATTTGGCTCAGATTGTTTTCTCATTAAAATAATCACTTTTCCTGAAGATTTTCCTTCTGTTGAACATTTGCGTTTGGAATGGAGAGAGCAATGCAATCAGTAACACATCATAAACCTTATCTTCTCTTTGAGTTGGTGAAGTGGTTAAAGATGACTCAACGTTTAAATTACTGTTCTTTTGTTGGCACGACGGCGACCTGTAAGAATACTGCATCTATCTTAACTTGAGGTTTAGAACTCGCCCATGAAATGTTGGGCGTAATGCGTCTGTTCATCATTCTGCAATCTGTGGTTGTACTCACACTTGTGTTGTTCTCCAGCTAAATCAATGACAAATTGACTTGCTGTTATTGCTCGAACCTGATTCCAGGATAACCTTGAGTCGTTGGAATCAATCCATTTTATATAATGCGCTGAGTTAAGTGGACCACCTTATAATTGGAACGCATTTGTCCCAATCGCTACCATATTTTACCCTGGATCCGTATCCCACCTCTACGTGCAATACTCGGGAATTCCCGAGATGAGCTTTGCACTTGCGCCAGGCAATGCACAGCCAATACACGGGATGTTCACGTATACACTTGAATGAATATTACTTTAAACCCGTCTTCTCGTCCACTTTCACTCGTTAAGTTATTAGGTAGACGGTAAGTGCCGATGTCCCAAAATGCTACCCCGTGTGCTGATTCCGTCACCACCCATTCACGGGTCGCCAGTAATCCCTGCCGCGAGTACCGTAAGCACTTGTTTTTTTCTCTCTTGTATGTTCGGCTAACGCACTTTTAGATCGAGGCTAGTCTCCAACTGGAGGAGAAACTATGGTACCTGGATTCTCCCGAATGACCCTCATCGCATTACATTACTGCCGTTTACAGTTGAACTGTACGATCTAAGAATGACCTTTTGCTACTGAATCTTTGCAGCCATGGCCATGTATACCTTCAACTGGCGCGTCGCGTCTTCACTATGACAGGCGGTTTGATCGCGCTTGTACACAACACCCTTTTCATATGTATCTTCTTATACTCCTCTCCCATCTATCCGACCATTTCCCCTTCCTCTCGTTCTATTTTTGCTAGGTCGTTGTCGTCCATGCTACACTACAAAATACGACCTAGATCCCTCCCTGTTGGAAGATGAGTCGTTAAAAGCTGCTCGATTGGTCAAGGCGAAAGCATTTGTGGCCGCTGTCGTGGCCTATAATGTGCTGTTGGAACGATGGCCAGATGATCCTCAGTTGTACACTGGACGTGCCACGGCCTTGCTCCAGCGCAATTGGTGAGTAGCGATGCATTGCATAGTACTGTAGTGGTGATCCATACATTGATCCATCTTGTGTCCATTTTTGACCGAATTCCGCATGTAGTCAATCACATCACGCTATCGACGTGTGTATGGTCGACTTGGCCGTGCCTCATGTCTTTCCAAACCTCATTCACTTGTGGGGCGGTGAGGTATCGATTAAGGACAACATACGCAGTCTTTCAGGAGAATGGGAACCGCCATTTTCACCATTGTTGTCTATAGGTTCATCACGCTCAATGATGTGTAACCATCTATTGGGCAAAGGTTGGATGCCTTTCTGACAGAAAAAATGAGGCAGTTTGTAGTCTTTAATTTTTTCTCTTTCTTAGTTGCTGCTTCATGGCGCGGAAGAGATAATCAGATGGGGCAATATTGGCTATACGTCGGATGTAGTTCCGCGGTTCAGCCCAGTTTCTCCAACATGTGGCGAGTCGACTTTGCAATGTGAGGTCGAGCCTTACCCTGGAGAAGGGCGACACTGAGTCATTTTGGACGCTTCTCTCGCGCTGCTTCGGCCAACTTGCGGAGTTGCTCTTCGTAGACATCGGCATTGCTTGTCTACTTGTTGTCGAGCAGTTCCCAAAACAGCATCCTCTACCAATCCCAGAAAATCGCGAGCATGATCTTTCGAGCATGAAACTCTGGTTTTGCTTGAGCTGGCGGGTCTTCACCGCGAGACAGTCAGTAGGCGTGGCGCGCGTTGTCCTCGTAGTAGACCTAGGACTCATGTCCAGTGATGATTGACTTGAGGAAGCCCTGCCTGTTCGGTCGCAGCAGAAGACTTTCGCACATGGTCACGCGTACAGCGCAGTCGTGGCCGGTCACTGTATGACGTATCCATCGAGAAATCACTTTGCAACCGCTCATTTCATTTAGATGGCGAGCGAAGGTGTTACGGCCGTATCCCAGTGTCTGCTCCAAATCCCTGCTACTAGCATCCAGATGCACTTCCAGCTCGTGGCGCAGAGCATCTTCGTCAAAGGTGACTGGTCGGTCAGAATGAGGTTGACCTTCCCAGCTCGTATCGCCTTCCTCGAAGCGCTCACAGTCCAATCGGTAGTAGTACCTGACCCAAATGCAGTGTTGATCTTATCGGCCGTTTTCCTTGCACTGATCTCCAACTTATATTCATAAGGCATAATCGAGTGTAACTGGCGCTGATCCATTTTGGTTCTCAGTTTATTAACCCGGGATCGCGTGCCCTTTTATACCTTCCGGCTTAAGCTTCTAGACCATTCTCTAACATGTCACAAGCTTTTTGCAATAACCCGATTTGAAATAGAAAAAATATGAAAAAAACAAATGTGCAGTAGATATTATGGGACTACCCTATCGTTTTGAGCACGGTTACTTGATCAGTTACCCACCTCTCAGCAACAGTAAGGTGAGATTGCCCGCCATCTGTTCTCCCTCTGTTATGTCGTCTTTTTCGTGGTTAGCAGGACTGAAAGAACATCAGCGGTACGCCGATGCGCAGTTCCGACGCTTTGCTGCTGCCTAACCGCAACCGGTCACACATGGGCTAAGGATACTGCAAGGGTCGCCCAGTCCTTACGCAGGCTCGAACCCGCGTCATCAGATTACAAGCTTGTTACCTTTAGCCTACGGGCCGGAGAAAGTTACGGAGGATTAATTTCATACTAATATCCGCGTTTCAGTAACTTGTGATTCGTGACGGTAGTGGCATGGGAATACCACATTAGACAATGTAGCTTTCCTCCCTGCCCTCGATACAACAGCTGTCATAAATCCAGGTTAATTCAACTTCCTTCCATCTAAGCGGGGACTGAATTACTAGAGATGCGAACACAGTTGATCTTATCGTATTCGACGCGAACTGCTTTCAGTGAACACCACGTGCACTCACACTACCCCTCCACAGTCAACAGGCCCATTCTGCTCAACGCTATCCCAATTCGTTAGTGACCATCAGCAGTCCGCCGGTACGAAGTACTGACACATCGCTGTCGCACGTGAGCTACAGATACTGTGAGGGTTGCCCGGTCCTTACACAGGCTCGGAACCGCGCTCTCAGAGTACAAAGCATTCTCGTGCTCCTTAAGGCTGCGGACCTAACAGACTTTTCCTGTCTTCGTGATTTCAGGAAACTTGGTAGACGACCGGTTAATGTATTTACCATGTGTTACCATAAATACAGTAACCGCTCGCCTACCAAGTTTTCTGAAATGATGACTTCCCGATCGGTTCCAAATATTTTTCCTGTCTTCGTATTTTACCTAGCTTGGCTCCATCATTTTTGCACCGTTTATACTTGAGGGTTCTTATCGCGACTCACCATGGCAATGTTGAATTCAAGATTTGTCTATGTTGCTTCGCCTTCCCATCTAATGATGTTCTCGTCATTAACACACTTTGGTTCGCTTTGACCGTTTTTCCCCTTCCTTGCTTAGGTATCAGATACTGTTAACAAGGATGTTTCGGTTATGATACTGCTAGGATTGCATTATAATGTCTCTCCTGCGTTTCATCTTGTTTCTACTCAGGGTTGGGGATGTATACAATGCACTGTTGGATTGTCAAACGACTTTGAATTTAACAAAAACAAATTCCCACTCGGCTCGGACCTTAACTTCAGCTGTCATCTCAATGACCTCCTCCTCCTCTTCAGTCGCTCGTGATTGCATCCGAGTTACCGCATTCCTTCTCTCTGTACACTGCATGGTACGTCTGCACTGGTTTCGTGAGGCTCGCGCCACACTTGATCGTGTCCAGGCGGACTACTCTTACTTAGTCAGACCATCTCCTGTGCAGACCTCTCAATCGGATGTTACCAACGCGACCGCAACGCCCCTCAATGGCACAGCGATCAATGGGCACCAGAGGAACGGGTTCAGTTGGCTCAATACGCTGGAGACAGTCAACGAAGTGTTAAATGCGGAAAAGCCAAACTTACATGAGTTCTTCTGCATATTGAACCATAAAGTCAATTCTTTGTTTGTGCCTCCGTGTGACGTCAAGATGGCCCAACTTCTATTTGACACGACTCAGAAGGAGGAGGATATCCCGATGGAAGAAGGCACAGACACTGGTGATTACTATCTATTTTCCCCTCGACTTGTCGACCATATCTCTTCGTGCTTGCACTGTCACAAACAGTATGTTAAAAGGTGCTGCGCCGAAGTGCAGTGGGTCCGTTTTCAGATGCGACTGACGGCATGAGAATATCCAAAGATTGACGTTAAATTTTTCTTGTGGAAGCGGTCGGTGTTCTGGTTCGTGTGGTCTCTGTGAATACATCTGCTGGTGAAAACTTCTCGACCGATGATCTCAGTACAACGCTTATAGCTAGTGGTGAATAACTGATGGTTGTTTCGTTGGTGTGTGCTTCAGGCATGTTTGGCTTCTAACCCAACGCATCATCGTTTCCTTCCTGCGCAGGTGCGAGCGACGTCGCTGTGTTCTCCAGCACGTTGGGGTGGGCGTCTTCGCGGTATACTCAGCCCGCGCGCGACTAGTGGTGGTCGCGCGGCAGCGATGCGCCGTTACGGCGTATAAGCTGACACCTCCCAGCACGCAGGCGCTGCTGGTGATTGTGTAGCAGTGATGCGTCGGTATTAAGCTCCGGTGTATCACTGACGACCTTTTGATCTGGCCGCTCCGATTATAAGTACATGAATAAACGGTTTATCCCTCGACAATGCGTGACACTAACTGAAGGGCCGGATCAATATGCACAGAGGGGTCACACGTATTTATTCGGCCGGTGGCCGAGTGGTTGGCACGTTTGCTTTCCAACCATAAGGTCACCGGTTCGAATCCGCGTAGGGGTGGGCGTCCTCGCGGTATACTCAGCCCGCGCGCGAGTGGTGGTGGTCGCGCGGCAGCGAAGCGCCGTTACGGCGTATAAGCTGACACATTTCATTTTTCATTTCATTTCATTTCATTTTGAAGTGACAAATGGAACGTATCAGAAGGGATGTGAAAATTGTGAACCATAACAAATGCAGATATAGCGATATCTCCAAGTCTAGTACGGCCATCCGTGGAACTGTCCCAAGAGGAACTACTTCCATGTAAGATATCCCCTCGAAAGGTTTCACCCGTACTTCCGTACCCAATCTGGCTGCGTGCCGGATGGGGATCACGAGGATGGCTTTGAACTGCTAGTTGTCAAGTGTTATGCGAATATCACAGCACCATCAGCCCTCTTCTTCAAATTTCTCCTAAATGTCATACCGCAGTGTGATTCACGAGAGTGGAATCAGTGAGCGCCGACTTGTCTTCCGCTCAGTTATAGTTTGCATTGACTGCAACTTCATATGTTGCTCGTGTGTGTGTATGTTTATGTGTGTTGAAACAGCGATTTACTCCCACTTTTTCCTTAGCTTAGAAATTGCATTTAGTCCAAGATAAATCTAGCTAATATGTATGTGCCCAAATGGGTGGTGGTGCATTTTCTGCATTTCTCATCATCGACTGCATATGAACTAAAAGACACCATCGAAATTGCACCAAGTGGAAAGAAAGCGAAAGGATTGCGCTGTCACCAATCGGTGCCGCCTCCCAGATTAACGATCGCACAATGCTGAACAGAATCGTCGTACTTTGTGTCCAGTCAACAGGGCAAAGTTTTGCTAAGACTTCATATATTTCGTTACTAATTGTAGTTGCCCCTTAAAATTTGGCGCAACATATAAATCCCATCGCAACGCTACTGGACCTTAACGTGGTACTGTTATTTGCGTACTTCCGTGACCCATTAAGCCACGCTGGGTGACACTTTCCATCTATCTAAGCAGTCTTAAGCGGCTGGCTATTTGACATCTGCATCTAGCGCTCATGGGTTCCATCCCAAGTAGGGGACCGAGGGAATGCGCACCACTGATGAGCCCCAATAGGGTGAAACGCGTCTGGTGCTTTTCCGGACTAGACTGTGCTATGTAGCTTGTGAGCAGCTGGGACGAAAACATTACAATTACAATTAAAAAATCCTGCTCCTTAGTAATCGTGTCTTAACTTGCTGTTTCGTAATCTGAAGGATCACAAGCCTGCCTCGTAATCCGAGAGCGCGGATTCGAGCCGGTGGCTTAGGGGTACCGGTCACAACTAACATTCTGGTGGTCTCAGGTTCGATACCTGCTATCTCTATCTGATTAGATGAAATAACATCGAAAAGCGTCATGGAGCGTATCTCCTGAATACGATTCCTCTCTGGGTGCTAGTGACCATGCATGCTTGCCATTCAAGTGCGCTCTCAATCGAGTATCCAATGACCGCATCATTCTAACACCTAACATATGGCGTGCCGATTTTCAAGCAATTTAAACAATGGTCACCAACTCACCTTGCGTCATTGTGGAAACCGACAATGTCCAAGCAGCCTGAGACACATTTAAGTCCTAATTATCTGATTTGTCTCTCCACTTAACAAATTCTGGGAGGAATAAAACTGAAGCGAAGCCATCCCTGTTTGATTCCGCGGCGCGAAAGCTGCTTAACAGGTGGACCAGATATTGAGTTGCTTATGTGTCTGCTCCTTCAGCACGCACCTTTCGAAATCACTGAGAAATTCGAAAAGCCTACAGGCAGTATTCGTGACGTGCTCGGTTACAACATGAAATCGCGCTTGCCTGTACATCCTCATCAAACCCAAAACACTCTTCTGCTTACATCAAGAGGCGAAGCAAAACGAACCCGTACATCCCGGTGTTGTTCAGTCCTGACGGCTTTGCTGTTGTCACTGATCTTGACAAGGCTTCTTTTTGCTTGGGGAATAGAATGCATGCATATTTGTTTGGGAATCCCACCTACTGCTTGTTAGTTTGAAGGTAGTGGTTCCTGTAGACGCTTAACTGGAGAAGCTTCCTAAATCAGATGCTCAGTTGCTCAAGCTTCTACGAGTGCTAGCTCCTACTAAGGCTGCAGGAGTGAACGCTATCCATCCCAAACTGTTGTATGAGTTGGCAGATGAGCTTTTCTGTCCAATTGCGCGATTGTTTGCGAAGTCACTGTGCAGCTGCTCTCTACCTAACGACTGCCTTGTTTTTACAAGTGGTGACAAACACCTACCTGATAACTATAGATCTGTTGGTTTAACCGGCGTGATGGTCAAACTCCTGGAAGAACTTGCAAGGAATGCTCTTGAAAGCCATTTAAATGCGTTTTTGTTGCTCATCTCCCCACAACACGGCTTTACCAACTTGTTTGTGGCTCGCGAACATTGGGCCGAAGCGGTTGATCTAGGATAAGCATCAGACATATTGTCCATCGACTTTTCCATAGCTTTGGACACCGTTTCGCATTCTTGCCTTGTATACAAGCTGCAGACCTTTGATATCTCTGGACCGGTCCTGCAATCGATTTCAGCTCTTTTAACCGGAAGGGACATGTGTGTTCGTGTGGGTTCCCTTCTGTCTTTAAATCAGTGTGTTCGCTGCGGTGTTTCGCGTAGATCGACCCTTGGCCCCGTGCTATTTACTATGTTCCTTATTGACTTACCCGACGAGTTTAGAGTATCATCCCTAATTTTCACGGACGACTTAAAGTTCTCTTCCACAGTGAATGAACCTGATGATCCACTGGACATACAATAGGCTCTAGATCGACTATTGCACTGGTTCGTTCTGTGACAGCTGCCCATAAATGTCGCTAAATGTTCAGTTTTGCGAGTAGGATCAACTGACCCATCGACGCAATACCTACTTGAGGGCAATGCAATGTCGCAGGTGCCACTCCAAATTGTTCTTGGTGTCTTGCTTTCGTCTGATTTTAAGGCCAATGCGCATTGGATTGCAGCTACCCGCGAAGGTTTCAGCATCTTGTGGATGATCCGCAGGTCATTCGGGATCATAACAACTGAAGTGTTCGCAAGACTACTCGCAGGCTTTGTTAGGTCGCACTTTCAATACTGCGTACAGGCTTGTCCTCCCTGCCTAGTCCGGGACAAGATGGCAGTTGAACGAGTCTTGCGGTCTGGTACGAAAATGGTATTTCAATTAATGAAGCTTTGGTACTGGGAGGCTACTCAACTTTGACATCTTTTCGATGTGCTACAGGCAATTTCGGGGGATGTGTTCCTCACTTATCGCAAACTAACGGGTGGGGTCGGCCCTGATTTATCTGGACTGTTCCTTCCCACTCCGGTGCCAACCCTTTGTGACCATCCACAAATTGAACAAACCCCGACTGGACCGGGTTGGAACTGCTTCTCGGTTATTACTTATTGTTATAGGCTCTTGGAATGCGCCGCCCACGGTGAAAGAGTTCGAACATCGTCTTCACGCCCTTGGTCCGCAGTTTAAAACCTTCCCCTTCACCTCTTAACTTTGCTCTTATCTTTTGAAGCTTACTCCACTCCAAGATTGTTACATTCATTGTTCTGGTTTGCCTTTTTCGGTTCTTCTTCCACAGCGAAAACTGCTAGTGCTGCACCCATGGACATTGTTTGATTGACCGTAGAGTGTATCGTGCGTGGTGATTTGGCTCCTTGCAAATCACTCCACACATTTCACTCTGAGATCGGTGACGTTTTGCAAGGTAGAACCTTCACAGGATACTCCTACTGTTCTGGTCCCACTTGAACTTTAGCCTGCGTAGGGACTCGGCGACCCACACAGTATCCTTAGCTCACGCGGGACTGGTGGTGGTTGCGTGCCAGCGAAGCGCCGACACTCCGTACCATATCGTATTTTGCTATTGCTTGGTTTAGTCTGTCTACTACTCAAATTAGTACTTATTGCTTATCGATACTGCACTTAGTATGATATGGCCTCCGTGGCCTACCGATAATACGATGAAAACCCGACAGCAACTTAATCTCGATACTTCGTCCGACTGGTACGCTCCGTTTTCTTTCGTGGATCTCACATTACCGCAATCTCGAGTTCCATCTCGCTCTTACAAATGAATGCATACCTATATTACTCGTGAGTAGCCAAATTTTAGCTGCAATTTAAGTGTTACATCCCAGTAGTTCACCTGCTACGTAGCACACACTAGTCCGGAAAAGCACCAGGCGCATTTCGCCCTATTGGGGCTCGTCAATGGTGCGCATTCCCTCGGTCCCCCAATTGGATCGAACCCATGAGCGCTAGAGGCTGATGCCAACTAGCCAGCAGCTTATGCCACTGAGTTATGTGGGACTTTGGCTGGGCTATATAATTCGCAAGCTAACTTTGATATAGCGCGACCTATCTTCCACTGTTACAGACATTGGCTAGCCGACGAGGACTACGGTGTCTTATGTAGTTTGTGAAAGCCTTAAAAATTCATATGTAGTTTATTCCCCAAGGGCTCGAGACACCCCTCATTGACATGATCCGTTAAGTACAGAATTTGATATGATCGTTGAGTATCGCATGAATGTTCATCAGCTAGTCGCATAATATCTTGATGGGTGCCCAACTGGAAACCCATTTCATTTTGCCCAGGATATTCAGATAGATTTTGCAGGAAGTAAGATGGATGGAGCGGGATCGTGGGACCATGGTTGTGCTTCGAAAACAGAACTTAATTGCTTGCACTCAACTGAGTTTCGTAGCGACAAGTTCCTCGACTGGATTGGTGTCTCAATTACAGTGGAATTTGCGGTGACACATGATCGTCATCCAATTGGTCAGCTAAATTCTCGCATTTTGTAAGGGTGAGGCCACAGGGCGCAATCGTTTCACACTCAGCCACGAAACACTAAGAGAGAGGACGTTATAATTATTATTTGGAACATAGAAATGGCTTAAGTACTTTGTCGTAAACGGAGATTAGTGATCCTCCGGATGTAGCACGATATCGGTCATTCGAATCCAAGTAGCTGTCCTGACTCGAGCGAAGGTAAGAGGCAAGTTTTGATCGCCCGGTTACAAATTGAAGATCCTGCATGGTCATCGTAGTAACTTCTTGAATATAGCATACGATTCTTTCATGTGGCAATGGGAAGAGCAGAGCCCAATCGTTGGTGCCACCTTTAAAAATAAAATTTCCGTCCAAGGTACTTGATAGTGTCGATACGAAAGTTTGTCATTCATAATCAAATGAAATGTCTGTCACATAGGATTAAAAATAACAGATGTTGTTCCCCTTATTACATACATAACTCCTACAAATAAGGATTCTGTGGGTCCTGTGATAAGAAGAGGTGAACCCAATTGTTCATGACTCAAGGCGAAACTCCGCTCTGTCCAAGATGGGAAATCGATAATCCTTCCGATACGGTAAGTGATAACAATAGCAAGATTATCCGATATTCATAGGAAGGCGAACGATCCGTGCGCTTTGATAGAACAGAAGTTTGGCTTATTGTTACTTTTCTCTTTAGACCAGTATATGCTGTTTCACATCACTTTCTCCATAGATTTGTATTTCTCTTTTTCTGTTGCTTTCGTTTTTGCTGCTTTTCATTTGGCCCCTCGAGTCACGGTAACTTGTTCTGTTGTACTTTGGTGCCCGGCTGATTGTTGCCAAAATAAAATGGAGTCATTTGTCGTTCGCCTTTCTCTTTTTTAATGCCTTTTATGTACTTTCATCTTGAACCCCTTTTTGCCTCACTTTCTACTCTCTGGACGCAAATCTTATTGCATATGCCCCTTCATCATAAGAAACCCGATTTTCACACCACTTTTCGTTTGGTTAATCTTCTTCTCAGTCCCCGCTGATCCCGACTTCTTCGCGTCATCTTCGAATAGTGCATCAAATCGAAGTCCTTCCCCCCAGGTGCCGGAAAACTCTACGCTGGACGAACTTCTAGATTCTTTGGAGGACACCGTCTTGCCATCCATGGACCCAGCAGATCACTGGGATGAGATTCCGCCGGAATTCCAGCAGTGCTCCTGTTTCGGCTGCGTCACATCTTCATCTCATCTTTCTGCCACGGCCGAAGTACGTCTGCGTTCACACTCATCCGACTATACCAAACGCTATCTTGGTCATTGCAATGTGATCACGGATATTAAAGAGGCCAATTTCTTCGGGAGGTGAGTTCCCAATTACTGTTTTATCTTCAAACACTTTTGCGTTTCTACTTGGTATGCATGTCCACTTTGTGTCTCATCTTTGCTTTCCGGCTCTTGTTTTCATCCTCTCAGCTATGGTGAATTCATTGTAGGCGGTTCGGATTGTGGCTCATTCTTCGTTTGGAATCGGGAAACGACCAATATTGTCCGCATTCTGGAAGCTGACAGTTCCACGGTGAATTGCGTTCAACCTCATCCCTCGATTTGTTTGCTCGCGAGTTCCGGGATCGATTCAGTGGTTCGAATCTGGGGTCCACGACCAGAGGTGCGTTTCATTCGATGTGCTATACTTTCCGTGACTGGTTTCTAAGTGTGTCTCGTCACCAACAAACAGCGACTGGGTGTGAACATCAGTGCCTTCTTAATCATCCTAATCATGTGGAAGAGAGAAGTGACTCAACGTACAACGGCCCTGCCCCATAATAAACCACCCAAGGTCAGGGTGCCTACACTTACCAAGGACACGCTGTCATACACAATTAGATGTCATGTGAGAAGTAAGGCGGGATTAGTGAATCAAATTCTTTTTGGTTTTTACTGCTCTTCCTTATTGTCGGGTCAGTTCAGTTCGGTTAAACAACTATGCTCTTGTTACCTTAGTGCAGTGGATCATCCAGTTTCCAACCTGGCTAGCGTCTCCCATATAACAACCATTAATGGTGGTGGGGAATCATGAGATGAAACGCAAGCACCATTCGAGGAAATAAGTGTTAGCATAGTAGTGAGCGAAGTTAATCGAGATGAGATGCTAATAGGTAGCTTAATAATAATAATAATAATAGTAATAATAATAGGTAGATGCAATAAAGTAATGTGTCCGCCGTACATCGTAACGACGCTTGTTGCCGCGCGACCACCACCAGTCGGATTCGAACCATTGATCTTATGATTGCGAATCAAGCGTCCGCTCGGCCACCATTGGGACCACTCACTGACTGCACCATGTCCTACAAGGCCTCCAATCATTGTTACGATTTGTCCCATTCATGAAGAGGACACGCACCAATTCTCTCAGTCAATCCCCTCATACCTTTATACCACATCATCGACTGGCCACCTCGCGGCTTCTCTCGACCAGGTGCTGCGACTGCATTTAGTGCACACCGAAGAAGATGGCCAATGTTCATGCGGCGGGGAACATGCCATAACCAACGTAGACGGTTCATCATTTGCCTGCTGAGTCTAGTCCATTTGTCGCCAATTCTCCTGTGCGACATTATCAATTGGTCCTCCCAGTTCGGGACTCTCATGCGCTTTCAGATATTTGATCATCTTTGCCCACAAAGCACCGTTCCTGTTTGCTTTCATCAACCAAACCCGCTAAGGCGAGATCATCAGGAGCGTACTAGGTGGCACTGATCAGACTTGTCATGTTACTATTAATAATGATCTATTTTCGGGAACGTTAGCCATGATCCAACCAACCTGGTCCGATCATTACATTCATGTTCCATTCAAAACTATTTGTGTACACTGGTTGTTCAGTAACCCGAAATTTCGTTACATTTTACTTCTAGCTATCAACAGTATTTCCTCCTTTAGTGATAAATACATCTTCATAATTTATATTACTCACGAGTAGCAGGATTTTAGTTGCCATTCTGACAAGACCGGTGCTTTTCCGGACTAGGCTCTACCGAGGGTTTGATAAGAGTCTTTCGATTCTGCTCAGTCGCTCGTAGATCAGCCGCGCAGGTCAGGGTGAGATTGGAGCGCACTAATTTGCCGACCCACCAATGGCATGTAAGTCTACTGTATTTACTCACCCACGCATGTCTGGGGTGTGAATACGACGTGAGGACGCATAGCGGTGCATGTGTCCTTGAAATATGTTAATTACCCCCGGCGATTTTGACACCGCTCAGTTCAGATTGGGTCGCTGCCGACGTTTTTGGCTGGTGGTTTGCAACATCTCGACAGCAGTGCATAATGCATTGGCTACCGTGTTCAAATGTTGGTGGCGCTTCGACAGTTGCTTAATGTTATCCCAGCAAATGATAAAAGGGTTAGTGACAACGCTGTTGTAGACAGAATGTTACCTTCACATAAACCACCTTAGCAAAATAAGAATTCGTAACAATTAGACGGTGAAAATATGAGATGCTACTTCTGCATAAATGAGTCCGGAAAAGCTGTCGTTGACAGACTACTCCCGTCACAGTCTTGATAGCAATTGCAGGAACCAAGTGGGGTGCACGCTGTCTAATTTGTTTAACAGTGACCGTGACGGTGTAACATGAAAGGCTGACAGTGTCGCTCAGTCTCTCAGGAAAACGTAGGTGTATATCAATCGAAATGATCGTTACATGCTGCCGTGTATGCCAATTAAGAGACTACTCGCTGCACGTGTTTGTGGAGAAGGACTGCCGATGAAATCGCATTGTATGCGTCATTGCACAAAAACGATCGAGGAGCTGTGTCTAAGCTAAGCCCAAGAAGATGCCATCAATTGCACATAATCGCACCCTGTCCGTGTATTCCAGAAACAGCTTGGGACAAATTTGTGGGCACGTTCACATCCCTAGTCGCGAAGGCATCAGAACCGAAAGCTTTTCATCCTCCCCTCAAAACGAAATCTTTTCAGAGAAGCCGAACACGAAAATATATGGCCTTGAGGGACCGGACTTGGCATGGTTATAGAAACAATCGCAGTTCAGAAAATTGGACGGTGTACGCAACTCAGGCGAACGACTCTGTGCACTTGGTGCGTGAGGACAAGTTCACAAACTAGCAGTTTGATCCGGCGTAACATTCACTGCGGAAACGGTACTGAAAATGCCATTATCCTTGCGTACACACAGATCTCTTGGAGTGGACAATATCCACCCCAAAAGCACTAAAGGTAACAATCACGCACCTAGCCGGATTATTTCAGCCATCTCTGGACTGCAACATAGCTCCGTCGAAGTGGAAACTAGGTTTCATCAATCCTATTCACAAGGGAGCAAGTCGGTACGAGCCTGCCAATAACCGCCCGGTAATCTTCTCCCGGTGTTCGCCAAAGTTATGGAAGAAATTCTGGCCGACGCATTGACGGGCTATGTGGAATGCCATGGTATCTTTATCTACGATCTAGCCAGTGTAATCACCCCAACCCTGTCGGCCAACGAGACCTTTCGGCGCTGAGGCCCATCTATAGGTACAACGATTTCTTCCGTGTACGCTGCTCACGTTAACGTCTTGTTCTCTTCAGGCAACTCCCACAATATTCCCTCCACACTGACGCAATATCGGCACCATTAGCCATAGCAGCGATTTAGTCCTGAAGTCAATGGTTATGCGAAAGATGTATTGAAATGCAGTACGTAAAACAAGTATAACAATCAACGCAGTAGATGCTCGAAATGCCCACCGCCGTTTTGCTGGCACAGCAGCATTCGCCGGATGCTGTTGGCTATAACCCTCTGCAATGCGTCAACCGATATCGCGCGACATTCTTCCACGATGCTCCGCTTCAGTTCTTCCACACACGTGGGTTTCACTTTATAAACTCTTCGTTTCAGGTATCCCCAAAGGAAGAAATCAAGGGGATTCATATCCGGTGAACGTGCCGGCCACTCCATTGGTCCTCCCCGACCAATCCATCGATGACCGAATGTGTCGTCCAGGAACTGACGCACGGTTTGTGCTGAATGGGCCGGTGCACCATCCTGCTGCCACCAAACCGTACTCAACAGTCCTTCCACATGCAACCGCGGAATCACCCACGTCTGCAACATTTCTTTGTATGAAGAGGCTAAGAAGTGTGATGTATTAGTTCTGCTACACAACTTACCCGTCACATTTTGAGAAAAGAAGAAAGGTCCGATGATTGTTCGACTTGTTAGTCCAGCCCAGGCCATGAGCTGTGTGCCATGTTGCACACGGGAAGCGATGCATTGCCGTGGGTTATTGGTGGCCCAAACATGCCGCTTCTGTGTACCATGCAGACAGAAAATGGCCTCATCGGTAAATATGATGGAATGCACGTCCAAGGTATTCAGGTACAAGCGAGCGAATGTAAGACGATTCACCGAATCGTCGGGCTTTAACACTTGTACCTGCAATGCACCATACCTTCGGAATTTTCTTTCCTTCAATATCCGGTGCACAGCATATGGTGTAGTGGCACAGTGTTGGGCGATTCTCCGAATGCTGAGATGACTATTTCGACTAACCTCTTCGACAACAACACCAGCAGAAATCTCATCCGTGGTAGTACGAGGTCGCCAAGTTCGTTCGGCGTTGCACACGCTCCCAGTTTTGTTAAATTTCTTCACAAGTTGGAGTACGTACTGCGGGTTAACCGGCCTCAATGTGCAGCGATTTTGACACCGCTCAGTTCAGATTGGGTCGCTGCCGACGTTTTTGGCTGGTGGTTTGCAACATCTCGACAGCAGTGCATAATGCATTGGCTACCGTGTTCAAATGTTGGTGGCGCTTCGACAGTTGCTTAATGTTATCCCAGCAAATGATAAAAGGGTTAGTAACAACAAAGAAATTTTGCAGACGTGGGTGATTCCGCGGTTGCATGTGGAAGGACTGTTGAGTACGGTTTGGTGGCAGCAGGATGGTGCACCGGCCCATTCAGCACATACCGTGCGTCAGTTCCTGGACGACACATTCGGTCATCGATGGATTGGTCGGGGAGGACCAATGGAGTGGCCGGCACGTTCACCGGATATGAATCCCCTTGATTTCTTCCTTTGGGATACCTGAAACGAAGAGCTTACAAAGTGAAACCCACGTGTGTGGAAGAATTGAAGCAGAGCGTCGTGGAAGAATGTCGCGCGATATCGGTTGACGCATTGCAGAGGGTTATAGCCAACAGCATCCGGCGAATGCTGCTGTGCCAGCAAAACGGCGGTGGGCATTTCGAGCATCTACTGCGTTGATTGTTATACTTGTTTTACGTACTGCATTTCAATACATCTTTCGCATAACCATTGACTTCAGGACTAAATCGCTGCTATGGCTAATGGTGCCGATATTGCGTCAGTGTGGAGGGAATATTGTGGGAGTTGCCTGAAGAGAACAAGACGTTAACGTGAGCAGTGTACACGGAAGAAATCGTTGTACCTATAGATGGGCCTCAGCGCCGAAAGGTCTCGTTGGCCGACAGGGTTGGGGTGATTACACTGGCTAGATCGTAGATAAAGATACCATGGCATTCCACATAGCCCGTCAATGCGTCGGCCAAAATTTCTTCCATAACTTTGGCGAACACCGGGAGAAGATTACCGGACGGTTATTGGCAGGCTCGTACTGACTTGCTCCCTTGTGAAT